AATAATAATAATTAAATTTAAAATTTTGCCCCGAGGGGCGAGTGTATTGGGCAGCGCCACTCATCCTGTGAGTGGACACACCGTCATAGCAGCATGTACAACAATGATAATAATTAATAGTTTTTACGTATGTAACATAAATTGCAATTACATTTGTTTCTCGTATGGTACCTATGAGTTGTGTGACAGCCCTCTAGGAACACGGGAAGCGAGACAAGGATTACCTGTTTAATTTTACCCTTCGTGTGGGGCCCAGGAACTGAAGCTTGGTCTTATAAACTGTGTTAGGTAACAACGTTCAGTATTTAACAAGGGGGCGCTTAGCTCTCATACATGTTCATTCAGTCACTTAACTATAGAAAACAGTGTCACTAGATGGGTAACTCAAACAAGTTACTCCCAAAGCTCATTTTAATTTTGTCTTGTTTGAATACATGTGAAGACCACCATCTATAGTGGCCTCGACAGGGGCAGGAAGCCGGGAGTTTAATTATGCACAGTGATTAATATGTAATTATGTGATTAATAGTAATACATATTACTAATATGTTGATTTATTATTACATTTTGAGACATTTTTTTAGGTGATTGTGCACTATTTCCAGCAGGGAAATTTGCAACACTTTACAAATATCGAGGTCCCCCCCCCTCCAAGGCCACTTTACACTTTTATACCAATCTTCGGCTATCCAGAGAATCTATCGAAACTGATGCTCCTACAGGAGGGGACACACAGAGAAATCTGTGCCCTGTACTTCAATCTTCGGCTATCCAGAGAATCTATCGAAACTGATGCTCCTACAGGAGAGGACACACAGAGAAATCTGTGCCCTGTAGTTGCAACCGTTTCGACAGGCTCGAAATTGAAATTGGCTGGTGACAATAATGAGGGAAATCCTCACTAACCGGTGTAAAGTGTGGGATGGACAACCCTTCTTCATTCTTTCCCGCCAGCAGGACGGTGTTCCTCAGGGAGTATCCTCACTGTTGTCGTGTTCACAGTTGCTGTTAATGGCTTGGCTACAGGTCTTCCTTCAGGAATTCGAAGTTTCTGTATGTGGATAATCGGACGATCCCATGAAGCCTGCAGGATGTCGTTGGCGGAACTCAGAAGTCAAGTGTCCCATTGGCCGGATGAGCATGGCTTCAAATGTTCAGCAATTAATACCGTGGCCGTGCACTGGTGTTCCCTACACCTGCGTCGCACTGATAAGTGCAGTCGGGTTAGATTACCATAGTGAACATTCACAGATTCCCGTAGTTTCCCGTGGTGAACATGTGTCCCAAAGTGTTGGGACACAAGCGTGGTTGGGTATGATTGTCACCAGCCTTCCTCGTAGCTAACACCTGCAGACATGAACCAACATCACCACCGTGACCTCAAGCGGTCCTAACACAAAGAGTAAGTTTGTTAGAACCAGTGACATACAGTTCTATTTTTCTGCCATTCCCCACACCCATCTATTTCTTTTATTAACAAGCTAGGTATTCACTAATATTCATCTATTCATCATCTAGTATTCATCTAATATTCCCATCTCACAGGATGGTTAGACATATATGGAATCAGGGGAGAAAATACCTGCCTCAATACAAAAAAACAAATAAACTCTGACCAGACAACAACTTCATGATTTTCACAAGAGCTAAGTACTGAATCATGGAAACATTACAATTACTCGTACCAGTTTCTACAAGACTCGTTTCAATTTTCTTTTTTAAAACAAGCTTAGGTATACACAGCAATGTACTGCTACCATATCCTGTATGAAGGACTACACGGTGTAAATAAAAAACCCAGCTACGAGCTCATCCAACATCCCCACCTCACAGGACGGCCAATCATACTTGGAATCAAGAGAGAGAACATGAAAGGTAAGGCTGATCTGTTAGCCTCCACTAGCAAAATCTGGGTACAGCACAAGAATATCTTCCAGTATTCGTGAGTGTATGAAGTAATTACAGAGCTCAACGTACCTCATACCATTTGGTCTGAAGTCACTGGTAACAGGGCAATCACAGATATAGTGTTGGAGAGTATATCCCAGCTCATGTTCACATAGTTTACAATTGGAATGTTCACCATTGGGGGGATTAATTACCTGCAGCCACCTGCCATAGATATCGATATCTCAGCCTAATTCTGGCAATGTCACACTGGCTAGTGAACGTTTTATGCTGCCCGTACATATAATTCTCGGTTCTAAACATGTCATAGCTCTTTATACTCGTGCTTTCTGGCCTCTGAGTGTCAGTAACTGCTCTTCTGTCTTCCCTAATTTCCTGAAATATAGCGGCTGTAACAGCAGAGATTGGAATGCCCATATTCAACTCAATTTCAGACGTATAACATGCAGTTTTAGTTGACTTGTCTGTGTCATCATGTTGGACAACACCTGTATGAGATGGTATCCATACAAATGAGAATCTGAAACTCTTGCTCTTTGGATTAATAATGTTATTAATACTGGAATCCAGGGAGCTCAGCTGGAAATGATACGAGTTGCGACCATACATTACCGACATATATTTAGCAAATTGTGTTTGATGTGATTTTTAGCAGTAAAATACCCTAAGTACCGTGTATATAAATACCGATTACATAGTATATATAAACATTGTAACTAGACCTCTATGTAACAGGTAAATTCAGGTTATTCTTATAAAAATAATACAATATCAATATTATTTAAGTTCATCATACGAACATTGAAGAAAACAGCAAATTAATAATTTATATAGAAAATGTTTACTGGTCAGGCATAACTAAAATATTTAAACTCTTAGCGGTCCGATGCTTGTGGGAATAATTTGCACACGTGTAATGAACTGCTTTTGATTTTAACTCAACTTCTAAATACATATTACCATTCAATAGTACAGTCGAGTTTGTTCTTGTTATTTTGTTATTTATTTATTTATTTATTTATTTATTTATTTATTTATTTATTTATTTCAGAGTTCTTACATTCTTGTACAGCCACTAGCACGCATAGCGTTTCGGGCAAGTTTTTTAATCCAAATTTTCACACACACACACTCAGGAAGCCGTCAGTAGCAGCTGTCTAACTCCCAGGTACCTATTTACTGTTAGGTGAACAGACGCATCAGGGTGAAAGAAACTCTGCCCATTTCTTTCCGCCTCCGCCGGGGATTGAACCCGGACCTCTTAGGATAACGAACCCCGAGCGCTGTCCACTTAACCGTACTGTTCTCGACTCAATCTAGAAATCTTGGTATCGGGTGGCACAGACATAGTTGGGCGAGTTTCCTTCCACTTCATGGCCCTGTCCACCTAGCAGTAAACAGTTACTCAGGGGTTAGACAGTTTCACCCCACACACACAGTAATCACAATAGCGTGATATATCAAATGAACAAATCCACAAGGGCCGTGATGAGGGTTCGAACCTACGCACGGGATGTTCCCAGATGCGCCTAAGTCAATTGTACCACGACATGGTAAAAAATTTGCAACCTGGAGTGCTACTGCCCTCACGAGGACCCCCAAAGCACAATCGGGGTTTCACTCTATTCACCCCCATGCACCCGGGCTCTCTCAACCAGATATTCTACCTCTACGCCCTTAATTCAATCCACTTGTGGATTTGATCGTTAGTCAGTTTGTTGTGGGGTCTATCCTGGGCGGGGTCAGTAATTCGACCCTTGGGGGGAGGGGGGCTCGATATAAACCTAATATGTCCTGTACAGCTCAAGTTCAAGTATGTTTATTGAGACAAGAAAGAAATGCATCTCAAAGGGATAGAGTAGCTTAGGCTATTTCTACGCCCCCCCCCCAAATGTTGTTTATAATGGAATCCAAGGGGGCTCCACTGGATGTACCTATTGTATAGTCGCCGAGTTGCGACCTTACATACATTAGGTACACCCCCCCCCAGATATATACCCTCATAAATCCAATGTACTTTCATATATATACATAAATAAATACAATAAATTATTATTAATAAATTATATATGGTGCTTCGATCACGTTTCAAACCATACGTATAGAGCATTTTGAGGTTGAATAATGTATGTGTAACTTTGAATTTGTGTAAAAACAGGAAAATATTGTAAACATGTATTGTAACCCCCACCTGGGTAGCGGGAGGTGGAATCCATGGCTTTGCGCTTTCATGCAGCCTTTGGGTCATATATGTATATTTATTTATATTATAACCCCTAGCCCCTGCGCCACGAATGAGGGAATGCTACATCTGTAACTTTTTGTATTACCATTCATAGGATGGGGTATGGGTCCACTATTACATTTATAGGATGGGTATGAGGTCCACTGCCCCCTCACAAAATGGGTATAGGGGTCCACTACCACACACAGGATGGGTATGAGGTCCACTATCACTCATAAAAGAGGTATTGGCTGCAAAATAAATGAACTAAACTAAGCTTACTCTTAGAAATTCCAACTGCGTAAAAAGTTTTTTTACTGAATGTTTTTATTAAGAATCTTAGGTACTACTTAACAGTGTAAGATGCCAACAATAATGATCCATATATACAAAGATTGTATATTTTCCCAGTAGTATAATACAATGTTAGTTCAAGTTTCGTGTATATATTCTAAATTGTACCAGCTAAATATTTGTATTCTTTGTTATTTAATTTAATATTAAATTTGCACAAGTAATAATTAATATTTTAATGATGGAGCTCTTATGAGATGCAGTGATCTCATCTTATGAGGGAATTTTTGCACTTGTGTTTGCATATTTATTGGAAAAAAGTAATTTACATTTTAATCTGTCTAAAATGTCTGCTAAATATATAATTAAAATGTAACATATCTATTTTGTCTTGGTATTGACCTTTGTTCGATTCCTTGGATTATACTTTTCACGTTCTTTTAAAAGTTAATCATTTGTAATTTCGTTCTGTAGGTATATATAAGCATAGGTAGTTGTTACACGAATGATTTAAGAATTGCGTAGTGAGGAAGTTTAATGCTGTGGTTTGTGTTAATGTTTGTGTGTTGTTCGTGAAGAGAGGCCAGAGTGCAGAGATCGGGAGACTAGTGTCGATCATCTGTTTGTGTCATGTCCGCGATGTTCCACCCTCGCTGCGGACGCTGTGTTCATCTCTCCAATGGCAACAAGACGGCTATCCGCAGCAACCCGACTCAAGAGTTCAACCGAGGACTCATATTTAGCCTCGAGCCTATCAAAGATAATGAGGTGTTTGAGGTGACGATCGATAAAAAGGTAAGGCAAAGGTTGAACATTGTGTTCAGGGGGGGTTGACAAGCTGTTGTCACAGCCAATATTTGGTGGTGTGGCTGTCTGCCTGCTGTCTGCGGCTGTCTGCCTGCTGCTGTGGCTGTCTGCCTGCTGCTGTGGCTGTCTGCCAGCTGCTGTGACCGTAGTTGACGGCTGTGAGAGTCCCCAGTGCCGTCAGCGGGCTGCTTCAGGAACTTGGGGAACTGGGCACAATATTATCACTAGCGAAGAGAAATTTAACAGTGCCAAACCAGTTTGTTGGTGAGGAAGATAATTAATGTGTCTGGCCTTTGGCACTACAGTGCAAAGACATGAAAAGAGTTTAGAGAATTGGCTAATTTGTTATTGTTTTAATAAATGTTGAGGGATGAGTCTGTTCACTTCCAACTCACTCCTAACCTAATGTAGTATTTCAGTTTGCTCTTACAGATAAGGTTATTTTCTTACCTTAAACCTATCTTTACCTGGAGCATACCTGGAGAGGGTTTCAAGAGTAGTTCTACTTTCCGAGCCCGGCCTGGGGCCAGCCTCGACTTCTTTCGTTAATCTTCATAAGTAACGAGCAGAGTTTACATCTGTCTGAAGCATAAATAATAATTTTAAATCTGTATAGTACTGTTATTGTTTGAAGCAAAATAAATTGGTTGATCAACACTTGATGTAGGCTAAGATGACTATTTTTTGTAGCTTGAGTGTGTGTAGAATTCTCCTCCTCTCGGTCGATCAGTCTGTTTGGTCATCAATTAACATTTTATTTTCCAAGTATTTTTCAAGTGCTTAAACTCATACTAAAATATCCCAGTTATAGATGGATTTAATTTATTTAATATTTTTTTTTTATATTTTTGTCCATTGTTATCATCCAGATCATTGATTCAACAAACATGATTTATTAAAATCATTGACTCATCAAAATCACTTGTACAGCACCCCCTTGTACTCCTACAGCACCCCCCTTGTACTCCTACAGCACCCCCTTGTACTCCTACAGCACCCCCCTTGTACTCCTACAGCACCCCTTTGTACTCCCATAGCACTCCTTTGTACTCACACAGCACCCCTTTGTACTCACACAGCACCCCTTGTACTCCTACAGCACCCCCTTTTACTCCCATAGTGCCCCTTTGTACTCACACAGCGCCCCTTTGTACTCACACATCGCCCCCTTGTACTCACACAGCACCCCCTTGTACTCACACAGCACCCCTTGTACTCCTACAGCACCCCTTGTACTCCTACAGCACCCCCTTTTACTCCCATAGCACCACTTTGTACTCACACAGCGCCCCTTTGTACTCACACAGCACCCCCTTGTACTCACACAGCACCCCCCTAGTACTCACACAGCATCCCCCCTAGTACTCGCACAGCATCCCCCCTAGTACTCACACAGCATCCCCCCAAGTATTCACACAGCATCCCCCCTCGTACTAACACAGCATCCCCCCTAGTACTCACACAGCATCCCCCCTAGTACTCACACAGCATCCCCCTAGTACTCACACAGCACCCCCTAGTACTCACACAGCACCCCCTAGTACTCACACAGCACCCCCCCCCCTAGTACTCACACAGCACCCCCCCCCTAGTACTCACACAGCACCCCCCCCCTAGTACTCACACACCACCCCCCTCTAGTACTCACACAGCACCCCCCCTAGTACTCACACAGCAACCACCCCCCTAGTACTCATTCAGCACCCCCTCATATTCACACAGCACCCCCCCTAGTACTCACACAGCACCCCTCCTAGTACTCACACAGCACCCCTCCTAGTACTCACACAGCACCCCCTCTAGTACTCACACAGCACCCCCCCTAGTACTCACATAGCACCCCCCCCTAGTACTCACACAGCACCCCCCCCTTAGTACTCACACAGCACCCCCCCCCCTAGTACTCACACAGCACCCCCCCCCCTAGTACTCACACAGCATCCCCCCCCTAGTACTCACACAGCATCCCCCTAGTACTCACACAGCACCCCCTAGTACTCATAAAGCCTCCCCCCCCCCTAGTACTCACAGCACCCCCTCCTAGTACTCACATAGCACCCCCCTCCCCCCTAGTACTCGTACAGCACTCATACAATGTACTCATTGCACTTTTTTGTTATGTTCCTGAATGTGTTGGCCTGAACATAACTCTTTTTGAGCAACTACTCGAAACATATCATGTTCCTACCGTTTTTATTTAACACAGGTAAAATATCCTTGACATCTTTAAAACATTATTCATGGAAATTTTTTAACTTGACATTTGTGTAGATAATTATTTGGTATTTGTGGGATTGCAAAGTCTTGTACAGTATGTTGTCAACAGCTGAATACATGGAGTGGCAGTATCGAGATAGGAGTGACAGTATGCAACCCAGATGTTATCGACATTCCAATTACAGCCACAGATCTACGTGGAGGAACATGGGCAAGTATCTTTTGTGTTTGTGTCAAATTTTTGTAATATGTTCATAACTGTTCATAACCTAGTTTGTGTGGTCAAAGGTTTTTCAAGTAAATAGAAATCTCTAGTTACTTCAAACCTGCTGCCGTAATATATAAATATTTATATAACGTAATATATAAATCCTTAATATTCATTCAGATTCAGTTGCTCTAGTTTTCATAAGTGTACAGGTGTTAGATTATTGATTATTGCAAGGACTTTGTACTAAGTGCTTGCAATGTCTTTGCCAGTCATATTGACTTTAGTAGGGCACAAAACTTTTTGTATATGCAGTAGAGACAGTTCAGTACAGTACTGTAATTCAAACTAGAAAGTTTCTCACAATATTTGTTCTATAGCTCAACACAATGTGACAATTTTATTTATGTAGCTTTGGTATTTTCATGTAAATTTCATCTTTTTAACGTACGACAGGTGGTGGTTTCAATAGAAACAAAAACTTTAGTTTTATATATATATAAAATATGCTAAATATTGAGCTAGTTATTGCTAGCAAAGTTGGGAAAAGGTAGCAACCTAACTATTAAAGAGCAAATTATGCTTTGGCACTCATAGAAGATTTTGAATTAGTATTTTGGGTAAAAGTGAATTATTATCAGTTAAGGACAAATATTTATGCAGGCATTTATTCAGATGTTAAACCTTTATCAGTGTGCAAGGTAATTTGACTTTTTTTTATTAACATTTTGAACAATAATCTTTATTAGCAGCTAATACGCCAACCCATTTTATCGCCTAATATCTTGCATGTTTGGGGGGTCGACCAATTCATTAAAAATTAGATGCATTAAAATGATAACACCATAATACCATACTTAATTATGTTTTCTGTGCATTGGCCTTTATAAATTAGATGGGCTGCTTGTGTTTGAACATTTCTGGTCAGACAAAACATTGGCGTTGTATGCATGGAGTAGCACGTCGAGAGAATAGGCTGAATATGATACTAATTTTTCAGATTATGTTGGGTCAAGGAGTATTAAGAGATGGTCGTTCTCTACACGAAGCATACGGCTGCGACCTGGATAAGCTGGTGGAGGGAGACAGGGTTGGAGTAATGAGAACATCACAGGTACGAGAATTTTTTATTAATTGTCTGCGATAGATGAATGAGGTTGAGAATATAGAACGATATTTTCGGTACCATTTTCCTATTTTAGATTGGTAGTGTTTTCTTAAAACTGATTATTATTTTTCAGTTAAATTGATGTATGTATTATTGAATTACAAAGCATAAAGAGTAAAAATGTAAAATTGTTCTTTTTATCTTGAATCTGATACAGGTTTTTAACCCATTACTAATACATCTTCCTTAAATATCGTTTCTGATATTAATTGGGATTTTCTTGGCAAAAGTTCATAGTTTGAGAGCATTTCTGTTATGAAATAGACATGCCTCATTGAAAATGGCACTGTGTGGTGTAGTGGTCAACACTCACCCTGCAGGCTGTAAGATCCTGGTTGGCACCCTGACCAAGGTTGGATATGTAGGCACAATCTCTTTTGTGGCACTGCACCCAGCATTAACTGGAGACTTGGATGTAAATCATTTAGTGAGTAGTATTCAAGGAAAAGCAAGTAGAGTAAGGCTTCAAAAACAAACTGTGAGAGAATGAGCTCTTACCCTGCAATCAAGAGTCAGAAGGTGAAATAATTATCAAGAAGAAGTACTAATCCAGTATGACACTATAGCTCTTTGAAGAAATATGTGGATGTGCTTTAGGAAGGATTACTTACAGCACCTAAAATTGAAAAATTTGGCAAATGCAGTTATACCAGAGAAAATCGCAGGCAGCAGTTCGAGTGAAGTCACACACAGATGACCTCTTACAGATGTGTGACAGATTTGCCTTAAACCAGCAAATAGTAGAACTAACTAGGAAAGAAAACACCTTAGATCTTAATTTTTACGAACAATGATATGCTGATTAAAGACATAAGGGTTACAAATACATGTTACTCAGATAACCTAATTGAAGTTCAGACATGCATGGGCAATAGACCTTAGTCTTAAATCTAAGGGGAGAAGAATTCAGCAAATTCAATTTTAATAACAAACAGATAAACTGGGAACAAATAAACCAAACCCTCACAGAAATATGCTGGGAAAGATATCTAGACAATTCAAACTTAAACCAATGCCTTGAGAAAATAGGCACAGTAGCATTAGAAATATGTGCAAATCACATAACATTAAGGAAAAAGATACAAACTGGAACAAGAACAGTGTTCTCTACAAATATTAAAAACAAATTGCAAAAATCTTAAATGCCCCACTCTATCCCAAGAATGACAAAGAAGACTATGTAAAGAAATAGAAAAGATTGAGCTAAAGTTGCAACGATCTTGAAATCCAGGAGAGGCAGAAAGAGCAAAAGACCATAAGCAAAATAGAAAGGAATCCAAGAAACTTTTTCTTCTATGCAAAGTCTAGAACAAAAACTACATCCTTCATTGGCCCTTGGGAAAAGGTGATGGAACCTTCACATATGACAGCAAATAAATAAGTAAAATACTGAGGTTACAGTATGAATCTTTTTTCAGTGAACCCCTGAACACATTTCAGATCCAAACAAATTTTTATGAATGTGACACTACCATCAAACCATATATCAGATGTCACCCTAATCCCACTCAACTTTGAAGTAGCCATAGACAGGATGCCATTGCACTCTGCACCAGGCCCTGACTCCTGGAATTCTATATTCATCAAGAATTGCAAAAACCACTGTCACAAGCCCTAACCATTTTTTTTTTTTTTTTTTAGACAGTCTAGATACTATTGTTATCCCTGATATACGGTACTTAAAATAGCAGAGATCATGTCAATTCACAAAGGGCGGATAGTGAAGGTGATGCAAAAAAATTATAGACCAATAGCTCTAACATCACACATCATAAAAATCTGTGAAAAAATTATAAAAAGTAAGATCACAAAACACATGGAATCACAGTGTCTTCTAAACCCTGGGCAAAATGGGTTCAGAACTGGGCACTCCTGACTCTGACTGCTAGACCACTGTGACATGGCCTTAGGTGCAATGGAAGACAAACAAAATGCTGATGTAATATACACAGATTTCACAAAAGTTTTTGACATGGTGGTGTTGCATTCAAAATGCATCAAGCCTGGTCCCAGGTCGGGCTTGGAGAGTAGAAGAACTCCCAAAACCCTTTCTAGGTATGCGCATGAAAGGAATTACTGGCAAAGTAGGAAGATGGATCTTTTACTTCCTAACAAATAGAACCAAGGTGTAATAGTCACCACTGGAACATTATCTAACACAGTGCACAGTTACAAACCCAATAAGATCTCAACTAGATTCAACAGAGCAGAAGTTGTTGTTAAACACATGGGACAAAATCTTAATGAAGCGACGAGTCATAAATACTCATACTCCGCCCAAGTAAAACAGAAACAAGTAACACTTAGTGGGCCAGCCAGAGGCTTAGGACCTACACAGGAATATCCCTAAAAAAAAAAAAAAGAATCATCCACCATGAAAAGCTCTGTCCTCAAGGTACCAGGCTTGCTCCAGTACTCTTCTTCATCCTCACATCAGACATAAACAAGGATACAAACTATAGTACTTTATCATCCTTTGCAGATACAGTAACTCTAGAATTTTCATGAGTAGACAATATAAAGGGCAAAGCAAACCTCCAATCTAATGTTAATCAAGTCTTTCAATGGGCCACAAAAAATCAGAAAATAACATGATGTTTAATGAGGATAAGTTCTAATTGCTGCACTGTGGAAAAAGTGAAGATATCAAAGCAGAAACAACATATTGTTTCTTGGTTATCAGCATAAACAACTTGCAATCCCAGTGGTGTAGTGGTAAGACACTCGCCCGGTGTTTTGCGAGCTCTTTGGCCTGGGTTCATATCCTGGCAGGGGAGGATTTACTGGGTGCCAATCCTTAACTGTAGCCTCTGTTTTCCCAACAGTAAAATGGGTACCTGGTTGTTAAACAATTTAGCGAGTCGTATTCCAGAGAATATTAGGATTAAGGACTTACCTGAAATGCTATGTATGTTAGGGGGCTGTACAAGAATGTAAGAACTCTTGTATATATAAATAAATAACAAATATATTTAAAATACTGACAAACCATATTATTGAAAGAAAAAGCAATGTAAATGATAAAGGAGTTCAATAATCATATTGGAGGACCTTACTTTTAAAGAACACAACAAAGTTGCTGTCACAACTGCAAGAAAAATGATAGGTTGGATAACAAGAACCTTCCAAACAAGAGATGCCATACTAATGAAGTCACTTTCCAAGACATTATTGCTCTCTAGAATGGAATATTTTTGCACACTAACAGCCCCATTCTAAGCGGGAGAAATTGCTAACCTGGGGTGTGTGTAAAGATCTTGTACTGCTAGAATCCACTCAGTAAAACCTTAAATTATCAGGGCTGTCTACAAATTTTAAATCTGTATTCCCTAGAGCCCTTGCAGGAGAGATACATAATAATTTTCACTTGGAAAATGTTAGGAGGATTGGTTCCAAATCTGCACACACACATAAATAATACCACATAAGATCAGAAGGCTTGGGAGGATGTGCAAAATAACCCCACTGAAAAGCAAAGGTGCAAAATAACCCCACTGAAAAGCAAAGGTGCAATAGGCACACAGAGAGAGAACTTGATCAACATCAAAGGCCCAAAACCTTCCAACGTTCTTCCCCTACACATACGAGGCATAACTGGCCGACCTCTCCTAATGCTCAAAAGAAAACTGGACAAGCCCCTTCAAAGGATATCTGATCAACCATGTTGTGACTTGTACATCGAGCTGTTAGCATCTGCATTAAACAGCCTTGTTGATCACACCAGGAACCAAGAGACCTGGTCAGACCATGCTACAAGCATGTTGATCCTTGGAATCAATAGGTAGGGTGCCTTGGACTATTGGAAATTAAAAACTGACCTTGCAAGAAACTAGCCTAGGAGACTTCTGCTTTTGTTCCTTTCCTTCGGAATTGACAAGCAAATAATAATAATAATAATGTGTGCTCTGAGACTGGTAATTGGTTTTATATTTGTTGTTTTGTTTCAGTGTACTTCAATTAGTTCAATGCCACTTCTAAGTGAATGCAGTGTTTAAGGTTCATAGTAGTGTTTCTTTGTATCTGCACTTACTGTATATTAGGTTTGATCTTTTTCCACTATATGTCCTCTAAATTTGGACATAATTTTGAAAACATGTTTGACTTTAGCCTGTATTAAGATAGGTGACCAGTCCAGTCTTATAAATTTTCACTTTGTTGCTGTCTATTTGTGATAAGTTTTTGAATTTGTCCTTGTTTTTAGCACCTTCAGTTACATAATCATCTAATCAGTAAAATTTCCATTAGATATATTCAACTGGTGATTTCCCTTATTTCACTTTGTATGGTTTTCATGCATTAATTCTACATTTAACTCTCGCTTCTTTTCACCTTACCAGTCCTCTTGCCTTATATTGACTCTCACTCTTCCTTGTCATGGCTTAATTAGGGTCCAGGACAGACTGAAACGCTGTCACTCATATATTTTTTACCTGTGTATGATGGGTTATTTATTTATATGTACCTGGAGAGCATGTTAAGAGTTATATATTCCCAAATTTGATTTGGGGAATCAATCCTGATTTAACAGTGTTGTACTGTACTATTCTTTCCTTCTGCCCCTTTATTAATTTAACTTGTTATAATTTTCGACTTTTTTTATTATTATTCAATAATGATACTCACATTATTGTAGAGCTTATCTACATTACATTTGTCTTCATAGTTCAGTTGTGGTTCTCCTGCATGTCGCTGAATTTACACTTTATCATCCAGTTCTCTTGTGCCTGATCTTAATTTCATCTCTTAATGGGTGGAATACAACATTGTCAGATTTAGTTATGAAAAAAAAAATTGCCTGTTAAATTAAAGCAAACTCATTCTGAATACTAGCCTTATTTGAAAATCCAAATCCTAATCAATATCCTAATCCAGTATTTTGTGGACCATTTGAAAATTGCAGGGGATGATTGCAGACCACTGAATAATAGATCAAAATCGTAAAAAACGCTAAAACTATGCATACAATTTGTGGTCCAAATATATTAATTTCTTGAAGGTATAAATTCCAGTATCTGAACTGAGAGATTAATTAATATAGCTCCATCTCGACTGTTCTTTTTCACTCCCAGTATTATTCTGTTATATTTTAATACCCCATTCCACTCGTCATTCTTGCTTTCTTTGAGCTTTCTCTCACATCATGTTAGCATATCAGACATTGCAATCTTAAAATCTTTCGTTACTTCTAACCATTTATGTTCAAATCCCTCGGTGAGTAAATGTTATTTTTATTTGATAAAATAGCTTACAGTTTGTTTTATTGATATCAATTATATGCTAGATATTAAATTCTAGGGTGACCTGAAGTTTTTCGTCAATGGAGAATGCCAAGGTGTAGCAGCGGCTAATCTACCACAGATGTTGTATGCCGTGGTTGATATGTACGGAAAGTGTGCACAAGTTACTGTTACTGCACCGTCCACGCCAGATTCTAGTAAGTGTGAGATATTGATCATTTTGGATATATTTATCTACATTTTGTGGAATGAAACTAGTGTGTTCAATGTATTTGTAATATTATTTGAAGACCTTGTTAAGAATGTGGACATAGAAAATAGGTAACTAAAACTGATGAAAATGAACTTCCTAATTTCTATTTTGCAGACACATTAGATGAAGACTCCACGAGTGAGATGTCATCCATGCGGGACTCCAACATCTTGGACTCCCAGCATGACCCAATCCCCTCTGGCCTCACCAGCATCAATAATCACACCTCTGCAAACTTACATGCTGCTCTTGCTAATGGTGTAACTGCAGCCAACCTCACCCCAGGTGCCAGTCATGCTACCTGTAGTGCGCTCAATAATCATGTTGCTAATATTAGCATTGCCAACAGCCTTATGTCTAACAGTGATAGTAACGTTCTACACGACGAGAGGGATGGTAGAGAGAGCAGCTGTGAGGCATCCCATAATCCTTCACCACGAGCTTCGGATGCTGCCACTCCTCGCCCTCTTGTCACAAATTGTGTGCCAGCAGCACAGACTGTCACAATAAATAACTGTAACAATGACATTGGCAATACCCCATCTGGTTACACTTGTGGTGGTGCTGTGGGTGGTAATGGTGGGAACAATAATAATGGTAGTGGTAATAATAATGGTGGGGGAAACAACAACAATAATAATAATAACAACAACAGTGGAACAAATGGTGCCAATACAGGTGGCAATCAAGCTGGAAACAGCAATCCTGGCACTTCGGATAATATGACGAACTATTCATCAGCAAGTGACAGACTACGGTTTCATGAAAAAAGTGGAACTCTTGTTAAATTGTCAAACAGCGCTAGAACAGCTGAACGAAGAAGACCTTTGGATGAATTCAATAATGGAGTGGTCATGAGTTGTAGAGCACTTAGGGAAAATGAACTCTTTGAGGTAAATATATATACCCAGTACTGTATACATTATAATAGTTTTTTACTTTGTTTTCTGTGATGCTGATGAATGTTTTGTGAAGAGTTAATGTAGCAACTAGTTTTCAAGATGAATTTATTGATGAAATGTCATATTCAAATTGTTTACATGTACAGAGATGTCTCGCATAAGTCGAATTCGGTTCATTTGAGGATTTAATGCAGTGTATTCTTTTTATAATTACTTGCGTGCTTTATGTAATGGACCCCCTCCCCGCTCAGCTCGTTGTCGCCGTGTGGGGGCTTGGTGGGCGGCTGCCGGAGTGTGATGCTCCTTGGGACAGTCCTGTCCTTTTCTAGCCTTGTGCTCCTGCTGCCGTCCTCTCCAATTCTGCTGGGCATCTTTTCCTTTTCCTTCTGTTTCGTTTTTCTCCCCCCTCTTCTCCTATCTGCTTGCCGTTTCCTGCCGACCTTTTGCTCGTTCTGGTTCTTCCCTTGGACTTCTTCTATTTTGACGCCCGGGTGCTTGAGGAGGCATACTCTTGCACCCGTAGAACTGCAGTACCCGACGTCGAGAGCGAGGGGAACCTTTTATTGTCAATCCCCACTTCGTCACTGAACCCGATCTCGACGGACTGTCGGTTTCTTAAGGTGGCGTTTGTGGGGCGTATACTCACGACGCACCCCTAGGAGGCCCCGACAAGATCGGCGATAGCTTCTTGTTGGGTGTCCTGCCTCTAATTGTGGCTCCATGGTGGGTGTGGGGGCACATTCGTGAGTGAATTCTTCTTTCGTCAAGATGATTACCCCTGCTTCGGCTTCTTCTGGTTTACCTTCTCAGGCTCGTGGGGTGGGCGACCAAGCCCCCGAGTCGGTCCGTATTGGAAGACCGGGCTCTGTAGCCTCCGCTGCATTGGGCCCCGACCTTGCTCCTCCTTTGGCCTCTCTGACTCCTTCCCCTGGCTCCCCTCCCTCCTCTGTGGTTGGGTCGAGCCCCAAGCCCCCAGTGGTGACTACCTCGTCCCCTGGCGCGGCTCCTTCTCTCGTTGTTACTACTGCGCCTTTTAACCCCTCTCTCTCTGGGGGTTCTCACCGCCGTTCTCGTCACGGCCGCCCTCGCTCGATTCCTTCCAGTTCTGCTACCTATCAAGCCTTGTTTGGTCCCGCTTCGTGGGCCAAATATTTTGATCTCCTCCCTCTTGATTCTGCGCCTCCTGACGATTTCTCCCTTCATCGACATCTCATTGATTCCGTGGATGCCTCCATTACTTTTAACCCCACTCGTCTCGGTACGCGTGTCGTTGCTGCTCCTTCTCAGGATGCTGCTTCCCGCTTGGCTGCCTTATCCTGCCTTGGCGAGACCCCCGTTCGGGTCTCGAAGAACGTCCAGTTGAATGCCAGTGTTGGCACTATTTTGCTCCCGCCCCATGTTGCGACCGGTGTTCGGGACCTACGCGACTGCCACGACGATATTCGACATATCCTCGCTGCCCAGGGCCATTCTATTCTCCAGGTGGACACGTTTACTCGTCCCCCTCGTGGTAGTCGCCGTCAACCCCTCCGGGTTGTGAAGATTACCTTTGATGGTAGGACCCTTCCACCCTCTGTCATTCTTGCTGGTGCCAGGTGCTCTGTCCAGGAGTACATTCCTTCTCCTCGGCTCTGCAACAAGTGCTGGAGGTTTGGGCATGGTGCCCTCCGCTGCTCCGGGACTGTCTCTCTCTGTCCTTTGTGTGGTGGCGAAGGTCACTCTAAGTCGGAGTGCGCTTCTCCCCAGGCTCGTTGCCTCAACTGCGGTGAGGCCCATCCTACCTTCTCCCGTGCGTGTGTCCATTACAAGCTTGAGGCAGCCGTCCTCAACTTGAAGCACCGGGAGCGTTTATCTTTTCCTGAGGCGAGGCGCCAGGTTCGCCGGCTCCCGCCTTATGCTAATATCTCTTATGCTCGCGTGTTGCGCTCTTCCTCTCCTCGTCCTTCCCGCCTTCCTCAGACTCACAACCGTTTCCAGGCCTTGGACCCTGATGCGCCCACTGCCCCCTCCTCTGTCCCTTTGGGTTCTCTCCCGAAGGATCCTCCTCCTGGTCCTCTGTCTGGGGTTCCCCTTCCTTCTACCCGGTCTGTCGTGTCTTCTGTGTCTCCTTCCTCGTCCCCCTCCGATCCTCCTTCCCATCCTCTTCCTCCATCTATCGGCTCTCCCCGTCGCCTGTCGGTGCGGGCGGATGTCCATCGCTCTCCTAACGGCCGTCGTGTGTGCTCTCGTTCGGCTTCTCCTGTTGAGACACTGGAATCCGTTGCCCGGTACGTAGTTGCTGGGACACCGGTCTCTTTAAGTCAGAAGCGTAAGCCTGGCTCCTCTCCTTCCTCTTCCCCGGCGGGTAAGAAGGCTTCGCTTTCTTCCTCAGCTCCTCCTTCTGGCTCTGTTGCTCCTTCCACTCCCGTTTCAGTGCTTGCGCCCCCTGTTCCTGCTATGGAGGTTTCTTTGGCCCCTGCTTCCCTTTCGGTTGCTGCTCTTGCTGGGGTGCTCTCCTCTCTTTCTACTCCCCCTCTTCCTGCTGCTGTCCTTGACTGCTCCTCTCCGTTGTCTCCTCCTCCTCCTCCTCCTCCTCCGGACCCTGCCCGCCCACCTCTGATCTGTTCTCCCGTTTCCTTCCCTCCGTCTTTGCTCAGTTTACCCATGCCCCCTAACCCTGACTTTGCTGACCCTGATCCCGACCCTGATATTCTTTAACGTGCTCTGTTGGTCTTTCGCCTTTGTTTCTTCCTTGTTCTCTGTTTTTGTCCTTTCTCTTCTCGTCGTTGTCCATTCTTCAATGGAACGTTCGAGGTTATTACGCCAATTTCCTCGAACTCCAACTTCTGGTTTCGCGGTTTTCGCCCCTTTGTGTCTGTCTCCAGGAGCCGATGCTTGGTGCTCGTCCTGGTCGTTTTCGTGGCTATTCCTTTCTCTCCCCCCCCCCAGCCATTGCTGGGGCTTCTAATTCTTCTGCTCTCTTGATTCGGGCTGATGTTCCCTTTGTTCCTTTACTTTTTCCTTCGCCTCTCCATTGTTCTGCTGCTCGTATCTTTGTGGGGAAATGGTACACAGTTTGTTCCATTTATCTCCCCCCGAGTGTCCCGCTCTCTCTTCCTGATTTGAAACACCTCCTAGACTCCTTGCCGGAGCCTGTGCTCCTGCTGGGTGACTTCAATTGTCGTCATTCTCTTTGGGGTGACGTTCTGACGAATACCCGGGGTCGCCTCCTTGAGCCGTTTCTCCTCTCTTCTTCCCTGTCTCTTCTGAATTCTGGTGAGCCCACTCATTTGGACTCTCGAACTCGCACCCTTTCTTGTCTTGATCTTTCTCTCTGCTCTTCTTCTCTTTACTTAGATTTCACATGGCAGGTTCTTGATGACCTCCATGGAAGTGATCATTTCCCCATCCTTGTTTCCTTTTTCTCTTTTCGCCCTTCCCTCTCTTTCCCTAGATGGCAGTTTGCTAAGGCGGACTGGACCCTGTTTTCCCTCAGTGCTACTCTCTCTGACCTCTCCCTTCTGCCCCTCTCTCGCGCTCTCCTCCTTTTTCATGACACTGTCTTCGACGCTGCCCTCCGCTCTATTCCTCGCTCTTCCTCTCGGGGTCCACGGAAGTGCGTTCCCTGGTGGAATGCGGACTGTGCTCGGGCTGTCCGCTGTAAGCGTGCAGCCTGGAAGAAGCACCGCCGTAGGCAGACGACCGATTCTTTTCTTTTCTTTCGGAAAGCGAGTGCGGTGGCCCGTAGGGCCATCCGTACGGCTAAACGTGAATGTTGGGCTTCTTATGTCTCGACAATTACGTCCGAAACCCCTCTGGCCCAGATCTGGAAGCGTATCCGCAAGATAGCGGGTAAGTTCGTTCCCGATGTTTCACCGGTCCTTCACCTCCATGATACTCTTGTGGCGGACCCGTTGCAGGTCGCTTCCGAACTGGGTTCCCACTTTTCTTCTGTTAGCTCTGGTCTTCATCTTCCCCAATCTTTCCTTCTTCGTAAACCTGTCCTTGAGTCTCGTCCTTTAGATTTCTGCACTCATCTTCAGCTTCCCTATAATGATCCCTTCTCTCTCTCTGAACTTCGTTCTGCCCTGGCCCTCTGCGGTTCTACGGCGGCGGGCTCCGATGGTATTCATTATGAGATGCTTCGCCATCTCCCTCCGAGCACGTCTCAGTATTTACTGAGTCTGTATAATCGGATCTGGGAGTCGTCGTCTGTCCCTGAGGACTGGCTCGATGCCGTTGTCCTCCCTGTTCGCAAACCAGGGTCTCTGGGTACTTCCCCTAAGGACTTTCGCCCTATTGCTCTCACAAGTTGTGTCTGCAAACTCTTTGAACGTATGGTTAACGTTCGTCTGATGTGGTTCCTGGAACACCATCACCTCCTCTCCCCTTCTCAATTTGGTTTCCGCAAGTGCCGCAGCACGACAGATGTCCTGGTGAACTTGGAGGTCTATATACGTACTGCTTTTGCTGCGAAGACCTCCGTTGTTGCCGTCCTTTTTGACCTAGAAAAGGCTTACGACACCACTTGGCGTTATCATATCCTATCTCAACTTCATTCTTTTGGCCTTCGTGGTCATCTCCCTCTCTTTCTCCGCAGCTTCCTCTCTCGTCGTTCCTTTCGGGTGCGCCTTGGTACCGCTCTCTCTCCCCCTTTTCGGCAATACGAAGGTGTGCCCCAGGGTAGTGTTCTGAGCACTACTCTTTTTCTGGTTGCCCTCAATGGTCTTCTTTCCTCTCTTCCTTCTGGTGTCTTCTCCGCTCTCTATGTCGATGATCTTACCCTTTGTTGTCAGGGTGATGATTCGCCTCTCCTTCAACGCCGGCTTCAACTTGCGATTGATGCCGTGTCGTCTTGGGCCACAGGTCATGGCTTCAAGTTCTCTACTTCTAAGACTTGTGCCATGACTTTTACGCGGAAACGGGTTGTTCTTCGTCCCTCTTTGTCACTTTATGGTCATCCCCTTGAATACAAAGATTCCGCGAAGCTTTTGGGGTTATTCCTTGACACT